GCCAGACGGGGGTTATTGGTGGTGGTGGTGGTGTTGGAGGTAGCGGTGCGCAACCACTCTTGTTCTGAATAAACAAAAACTATGTAACACAGTTGTTTACACTGAAATTAAAAATATTTGACCAAAGAAAAACAGGAGCAGGACAACAGAGAGAGATAAATTTGATTTAGATTTTTATTTCTGTGACTGTAACGACCGGCAGGGGACACAATATTAACAGCACATTTCATTCCTTTAAGCAGCTCCTTTAATTCCACATGACGCTGCTGAAAAGGACAGATTTTCTTTTCTCGATCTCAGAGAGCAGGACTACAATCTCCGATCTCGTGAATTTCTTCTTTTTTACTTTGCTATGTCATGAATGGACATGTGGTCCTGGTATGTGAGGCAGGAAACGTATAGCCTCATATGATGTTTTTGGGATGGTATTTATGCTAATCTCCTCTCCGTGTGCACAATCAGCTGGATACGAACAGGTGGAATTTACGCAGCTCATTTACACACTTTTCCTGAAGATAGAAGAGTTTGTTGAATCTGACGTGGCATGTTCGTACGAACCCTTCGTACGAACAAAAGTAAGAGAAATTTAGGATAAGAATACGAACATGTTCTTGCATGAGGCCCAATGTTGTAAAATAAAGAAAAATAGAACGTTCACACGTTAGAATGTTTTTTTTCCAACTTTTATTCACTATTCAATACTTATATTGACACCACTCAAGCCATTTTGTTCAAGATTTTCAAGGAACAAGAAAACTCAGCTCAGCTTCAGTCCCACTCAACATAGAGACCATTATCTTACAGGTAGAATCAAAGGAGTTGATCAGCCAAGGATATAGGTGGTTTCACCACAGGTGGCCAGCATCACGAGGAGATGATTTATGCAAAAATATTGATTTTGCCAAAGAAATGACAATTCTTTATGAAGGTGAGGATATTTGTTTAGAATAAGAATTTTATTAACATGTTTTAAACACTGTATGATTTTCCCACTGATAAAACAAACTGTTGATAAGAAATCAAACCTCACTTAAATTCTCTTAAATAACATTTCAATATATTAATATATATATAAACTATATTTTAAAATGATGATTGAAATAAAGATTTGATATTTTAATGTTTTTTTGATGAAAAATTTAAACATTTATTAGATCAAATTGTTTTATATTTGCATGTTTTCCCTCATCTTCCCTGCAGCGTTCTGAGGCCCCTCTAGTGCCCCCTGGGTCTGTCTGGACCACCTTTGACCAATTCTAGATCATATTCTACAACACACAGACAGACCAAACCTGAACTAGATTGTCCTAAGCAGATTTCTAAGACCTCTATTTTTTTAATAAATGTTTTTTTTAAAGGCATAATTTATGTGCTTTTCCCTGTTTATTTATTTTGGCACATGAACCACAATACTTAACATGTTCATGCCTGGAATGAAATGATTCTTTATGAAGAGCAGACTGTTTAATGAGTCCAGATTCAATCAGTCTTAATAACATGTTTGTAATTGTAAAATTGATTGCAATACTTTTAAGCTAATGAAATGTAATAATTTTTATTCAGTAAAATGACAACAATGATATTTATCGTCATCCTAAAATGATCCTGAAGTTTTTCTTATATTTCTGTTTATTTGTTGGACGCAGCAGTCCGTCCTCAGGGATCAGTGTGATCTCGGTATTCGGTTCCTTGACCTGCGGATCGCCAAGAAACCAAAAGGGGGCCAGGATTTGTTCTTCGCGCATGGCATCTACACCCTGCTGACTGTCAAGGTGATAATATGAAACAAAAAAGTTCATCTAATGTCTTCTTTCATTAAAGGCCTAAGATCATCTTATGTTGTGCCTGCATGTGTTCAGAGTATGTGAGGTGAAGGACTTTCAGCTACTACCACATCACATTTTAGCTCAGTACCTGTAAAACTGACAGAGTTATAAACTTTTTTGTTGGATAATGTTGATTAGCTGTGATGGACATGTTAAACTGGATTGACTTCAAAAGGTAATTAGGTGTAGATGTGTATTCAATTATTACTTTGAGAGTTTCATTAAAATTCATCTAGTGGTTTAAAACAGTGGTTCCCAAACTTTTTATCTTCTGGCCCACAAAATATTCATGGCAAAAACTTGTGACCCCAAATATTACTGGTCTGAGTACAGGAACTTCGTTAATAACCCTAAGCACAGGCTTTTTGACAATCTAAACAGCTTGTACACAAATATAAATACTTATTTATACTTATTTTGTGTTTTTGTAATAGTTAGAGGGAAAATATTACATCAGCAGTTATTTTATTACCCTTTAAATTGATTTCTGGAGATTATCCAAGGTGCTTCATGACCCATAATTGGGTCCCAAGCCCAACTTTGGGAACCAAAGTGCAGTGGTTCCCAAACTTTTCAGC